TATATATAGCACTGATAGAGAGAATTAAAAAGAAGATAACTAACTCAAAATTTTTTCTTTTTTCAAAAGGGTAGTAGAAAAATCTTTCTATTATTTAATCAGCGGTAATTGTTTTTAGTTACGTAGATTGAAATGAAAAATTATAATTATTTAAAACAATCGTTACATCCTTTTCCTTATAACACAAGGGGGCCGGCATTTCCGCCAACTATCCTTGCCTCACCTTTGACGTAAGTTACTTCATTTACTAAGATTAATATTATCGATTCATATGTCTATATACATATACCGATTAATATTTGAACAGAAAAAAAAAAGTTATTTTTTTCTCGAGTATCACTACAACACGAGAAAAGTCTCATAGTGTATTTTTTTTTAATTTTTGATTCTAGATTTCAAAACAACAAGCGTGACTTATAGCAAAAGTTGCATCCCCATAAAAGAGGAATGTTCTTTTGCAATTAGACCAGTGGTTCATTAATTAATGGTGTTTCGCGGTTCCCCAAGGTTCCGTAGAAAATTTTAATCGGTTCTGAGTTAGAACTTTCTTTTTTTTTTTTAACTTTTTTGTAACCAGTAATTATAATTAGATCCAGTCAATAATCCATTATTTATTTAATATTTTGGTTTCTTTTACGCTATTATTTTTTTTAAAAATGCCAATAAAAAATATCAATTTTTATTTTGAAAAAAATATACAATTTTTAAAATTACAATTTATTGTTTAAACTATGAGAAGCCCATACATGCCTATAATTTTTACATAAATACTCCCAATCACTCTTTCTAAACCAAAATAAATCAACTTGATTATTAATAAAAAAAATACGTTTCTCTACTAACAGTTTTCAACGTTTATAACAATTTCATTTTAGTTTTCATTTCAACGAAAACCATAATTCTGCTTACTTCATTCTTTTTCAGGTTATATTTATACGCCAAAAACAAATTAATTACTAGGCTTGATTCAGCTCCAGGACTGTGAATTTAACTGTCGGATCTGAAACCTTATTCAAGATTATTAATGTTAAAACGATAAAAAAAATGCTATTTTTCTTATATTTTTAATATAAAGCGGTCTTTTACAAGTTTAAACTTCCACAATTGTCTTTATGTACTTCCATAGGAAGAATCTTGATCAATTAGGATTCGAGAACTGCTAAAAAGAGCAT